AAGTGTGCTTATAAATGTTAATTTGATTCTATCATTTTGCATCTAGCAGCACTTTATTTTCTTCTGACTCTTTTAAAACTCACAAAAATAAATTTCACATAGAAAGTAATGTATTTGTAAATATAAAATATATTTGTAATTATATTGTAATGTCTTATCTTTACAAATTCATTGAATAAGTAACTATGGGTAAACAGTGATAGAAAAATCCCAGCTATATGTCACCAAATAGAAACTCATGTAAGAAAAACTTCTTGGACTAAATGTGTTTCTATTATTTTACTTTTTTAAATTTCAAGCAGGATTTCATAAAATGGTACATATTAATTTTATCCCTTTTTCAATAAGCAAAGAGATTAAGTGCTTTTAAGATCAGCATTATCTCTATGCAACAGCAAATTAGCAATTATTTAGTTTCACAAGGTATTTTTATTACTATGATAATCTATTTTTTCCTAAATGTTTTTATTCATCTCTGTTCCAGATCTGATCTATTTTTTCCCAAAACCGAGATGGGACTGATGAGTTTTCCTGATTACTTCTCACATTCTCTTGAAATCACTCCTTCTTTATAACGTAAGCAACAGAACAGATGGATTCAGTTAAAGATGTAAATCAGATATTGGCTGCACTCTAAAGCTAAATAAGTCCATAATTTCTACTTGGAAATGATATCTTGCTCATTTTTTTATTTTTTTTGCATTAGACTAGGCTTCCATCATTCAAGCAAAGAATGACACAAGAAATGAGAACTTCTAGCCCTCCTAATGCTGCTTGAAAGAGGTGCTCTTTCAAAAGTTTTTATTTCCCTCAGAAACAGCTTGGCAGCTAGTGCAGCTTTTCTTGCTGCAATTGACTGCTAATTACTCTAAATATTATTTTTTGATGAAAGTCGAGCTTTAATGTTTGAGTGGGGGTTTATTAAACAAAGTTTTTAATAACATTCATTAGATGAACATTAAAAAGGCTAACTGCCAAACCATCAAAGTAAGTTAATTTTCTTCACTGATTGTCTTGCTACATTTGTAATTCTTATTAAAGGTGGGATGAAATATTGATAGTAGAGGAAGATAAAAAAGGAATGACTCAAGAGCTACTAACCCAACTAACATAAAACTGTTCTTGCTCAGTTCTTAACAATACATTTCTTAAACCTTTTCCAGCAAAGCAAAAATTCAGAACAAATTTTACTTTCTTGAACCCAACAAATATTTACTTCAACATATCTAAAAAGTAAAAATATTCTTAATCCTGTTAAGGATTGTGGGCTGCTGTGGGCTGTTTAAACATTCATTAAAAATAAAGCAGAATAGAGTTATCAGCAGATATTCTGAGGACCTTTGCGATATTTATGTGAAATATAACTTATAACTAGTTTTCTTTCAAATTAAAAATAGATATGATTGGACTGAAAGATATCCAGCCATTAATTCAACATCTTTTTCTAACTGTTTAACATATAGCTATGGCCATAAAAAATATAATACAAATGGACCATTTATACAGACCACTTTCTATATATAAAGCACAGTATACAATATTGTATGTGTTCCTTGCTCTCCATGATCATGTTTCAACAGCAGCTGCAAGCAATGATTATAGTGAATGAGAAAGGACAGATATTAAAACATTAAAGATAGAAAAAATATTTATTCTGCTGTAAACCTAAGAGGTGAATGACTACAGACCAGTATTCAAGGCATTGACTTGATTATAAATCCTATAAACAAATAGTTTTTGCAAAAATAGGAAATCCCACATCATTTTATTAATGAGTTAAATGCAAATTTGTTCTGTTAGCTCAGATTTTAGGAAAGCCTTCACATATTGTAAATAAAGATGGAAAATACGATATATAGTTTTCTTTAAATTTAGAATAAAGCTACAGCATGCAAGAATGAAAAAGGAGTATTATAAAAAGGCACCAGTGTTCCTTAAGACAAAGATTTTTTATAGTGCCAGGCCTGCCTAACCTTCTCCTTCAGGCAAGTTGGCAAGACTTTCAGAATCAAAGAATAGTTTTCCCATGGCTTATGCAGTAAGAATTCACCATGAGTCACCATTCTCAATTTGTTTCAGTTTACAGCCTAAGAGGCAGAATGATCTAGACAGCAATCTGTCTCAAACTTCCTCAGCCCAGTTCCTTTCCAGAGCTCTGTGGTTGTACTCTAGCACATTGGGAGAGAGCTTGGGCTTGAGAAAAGTTGTCCTGTCCAACTACTATTCAATTTACACAATATGGTCTTCAACAAGACCATCACTTTATTCAATGGACTAACCAGCTTTAATAGTGCCTACATTTTCTGCTTCCATTGAAAGCCAAATGGACAATTAGTTCTAAAGACACCCTACTTCTCTTGACCAAGAAAGCAAGAAAACTAGCCAAGTTCCCTCCCTGTTTCAAAGAAGTCCCATAAGGCACTTTATTTCTTCAGTTTCTAATCCAAAACCAAAGTTGAAAGGATGTATTTGTCTCAATCTTCTGTGGAAACAAGAACATAATTATCTAATCGGAAATAGCCTAGCAGTTTGAAATTCACTGTGGCTGTCAGCAGTGAACCTATCTGAGCAAGTTTCAACAATGACTTGGCTGCTTAATCTGGACCAGTTAAAAGCCAAAATAAAAAGTACTGGGAAAAATGCCTACAATTACAAAGAAAAACAAAAATAGTGCCAATAGGATTTGATCTTCTTGATTGGGCATAACAAAGACTATTGCACAGGAGGAGCTATGGTCAGCAAGAAGATTGGGTTGTGTTAGAAACAGGTTATCGTAGCAAACAGGTTATTGTAGCAAACAAGATCAGCTAATATAGCTAAGCCTTGCCCAATGGAGTGCTCCCTAAAGATGTTGGACTACAATTCCAAAGATGATACAGCTTCTTGGTTGGAAAGATCTTATTAACATATGTTAACGTATATTGTTATTTGAACTATTGTTCTTTTTAATATATATGAAACATAAGAAGAACCATTCTTCAATTCATATCTTGAATCTGAAGCCTGGGTCTTCAGACTGTGCATATATGCAAACAATCTCCCATCCAACCAACACATACACCATACACATTTTATTCAGGCAACTTCCATTTCTGGAATCTTGAGAATTAATTCTGATGAGGGTAAATGCCTAGGAATGGAGGGAACAGATGCTTTGTTTGCAAAGCACCAGTTTTTGTGATAGAACAGTTTGCCTCAAAGTCTTTCTAATATTTTAATTGGTACTAGAGGTCATTGCTCAGTCATATAAGAAATAAAAGACTACAATACAGGACTAATCTTTCAAAAAACATCTAGTTCTTCAAGAGCAATCAGCAACACTTCAAACCATCATAAATTTCAATATATTTCTCTAGTCAAATGGATGGTGGTTTACATGCCAGCACAGTATCTCATTATTGGCAGCAGCACAAGGCTACCAGTTAAACAATGACTGTTCTGCTATCTTTTAAAGACTAGGAATTGGTCTTCCATTTGACCTAATAAATTATAGTACACATAAGTAATGCAAAAGCAGATTCAGAATAAAGGATACTTTTGAAATACCCCATATTACAAAAAAATAATCTTGGAGCATGTGAAGAATTATAATTTTTATTACATATCAGTGAGTAAGTAAAATTTAATTACTAACAGGGTGGACAATAATCGGCGATTTTTAAAAAAAAATCGGATTTTTTAATTTAAGTTGGATTTTTTTTATTTTTATCAAATTTATTTTAATAAAATGCTTTTGGAGTAAAAATCTATCTAAATATACTTTTCTATTTAAGATGCATTAATAATTTAGTTTATTCAGCATGAAATGGAGCTTAGCTATGTAGCATGAGGCTGTATATTCTGCAATATTTACATTTTTGGTAAACTCATTCAATGAATCCAAGCTCTACAAACTGAAATAACACGCACTGCATTCACACAATTTCACAGTAACCATGAGATAAATCATAAAACAAAGTTCAGGAATATTCCTTTATCCCATTGTTTTGCAAATCTATGCACACTACAAACTATGATTTTTTGAAGAGAAATGCATCTGTACCAGGCTCTAAGTATTTTAATTAAATAAAAGAATTTGAATAGTTCTCCAACTATGTGTGATTAATAGGTTAACCTATTAACCTAAAATCGGTTCTGATATCACTGTTTTACTAACCTGACAGCTTATTATTCTAAATAGGAAACCTTCATTTTGTTTGCAAATCGTAATATTAAAGATTCTAACTACCAGCAAGAATGAGTCCTTCCATGTAAAGAGCACCTGTCATTTCAGATCCATCATGGCAGTGCCTGTTAGCGGGCATCCACTCACCTGTTGCCTGCCACATCCCTCACCTTGTTGTGTCACTGCCATATCACCAGCCGTCCCATTAAAGTGAATGGGACTGTCGGTGAGTCAACAGCAGATCAAAGGAGGAGCCGCTGCGGGACAAAGATGACAGTTCCTCTTTAAAAATTATGATCTAAATTGACTTGATTTAAATCAAGCCTTTTTACTAGTGATTTAAATCATGATTTAAATTGTGATTTAAATTGACTTGATTTAAATCAAATCCACCCTGATTACTAAGAACCACAAGATCAAAGTTTGAATGTACCAGATGTTCCAACTACCAGTTTTATATACAGACTATGTTCTCTATCACCCCAATTAAGTACATCTGGTTTAGACTGGAGTGAAAATAGATGATTTATCAGATACCACAATACTTGAGAGGCGTCAAAAGGTCATAAAAGTTTTTGACGCACAGAACAGCCAGTTGAAAATTTACAAACAGAAAACATATCAGCTGAGTGTTATCTAATATAAAGCAGATCTGAAGTTAACCATATGAAGTTCAAAGAGAAATTAGGAAATGGGTTTTTTAGCTTACAAAAAAAGAACAAAATATTCTTCTTCAAAATGAAGCAATGAAAATCTATTTCAAAATCCATACTAATGTCCCTTTGTAATATTCATATCATATCAGAGTTGGGAGGCAAAAAGCAGTAATACTCACCCATCATTCCACATGAGAAGAGAGTGGAACCGTGACTCATCTTCTTTGGAGTGTGCTGAAAACAAACATAAGACCTAATCAAATATTTTTAGGAATTATACTGAAATCCAGGCCACGTACTATAACATCTTCATTCCTAATGGCAGACAGGATATAAATTCAGGTATACAAGAAAAGCTAAAGTGACAGTGACAATCGTCACTTGTTCTACTATTTTGTAATTTTTATTCATTGTAATGGTTCTCCCTTGAACAATATTCAAAACTGCATAAAAGGCTAATCCAGAGAAAATATTAAGTTATATAAATCTGTCAACATACTAAGAGAAGATATAAAATTTGCAACTGTCCACTCCCTTTTTTCTTTAGAATTATATTGATTAATTAAAGAAATAATATTTAAAATTGTATTATTTTTTTCAAAAAAGTTTACTACTTCTACTACTAAATTGATTTCATAGGGATGATCCTGTTCGTAATGGAATAAAGTTGAAGCAATAAAAATCAAAATTACTCCATACAGAATGAAAAATAATCTAAGTTGTATTGTTATAAATCTTTTTAAACTATTCATTTATGTTAGTATTGTTGCTATTGGATTTTTATTTAAAAAGAAAAAGAAATAGAGACACTGCAGGAATCAATAAGAGAAAGTTGTCCAGTGACTGCAGTAATGGTTCTAAAGTTTAACTAATTGGCTTGTTTTTTAATAAATCTAGTGCTGCTCGTTCATATTTTGCTCCTCTTTCCCCCTTCTAAATCATTTTATTTGCCAAAAAAGGCAAGTTATTATAGAAGAAAAGATACTTAAATTTATATTAATAATGTTGTATTCGGGTACAACATTAATGTTAATAAATTTTATGTTTCATTTTATTTTATTTTTGTTTTTTTACCCTGAATCATGTAACACAATGTATCTATTGAGAAATAAGTTTTATTGAACTAAATAGATTGTGTGCTAAGTAAATTCAAAGTTCGTACCGCATACAATAAAAGCTGGAGTGCTGTTGACCAAATAAGTTCCACTAAATTAAAAATATACAGTAATGTTTCCAGGAATTTTGAAGCACTAGAACAGTGGTTCTTAACCTGTGGGTCGGGACCCCATTTGGGGTCAAATGACCATTTCACGGGGGTCGCCAAACAACACAGTCCGCCATTTTTTCCCCCTTTCCTTAGCTATGCTACTCCCTTTTATTCTATTGGCTTTTGAAAGCCAATAGAATAGACTCTCTTGAATAGAGTCTAATTCTATTGGCTTTCAAAAGCTAATAGGAATTGTCCAGGCTGTCTCTGCCCTGCTGAGCCCGCCAAAAGTCCCATTCTGCAAACAGTGCTGCACCAGTTGAGTAGTCCTCGACTTACAACTGGTTGAGTAGTCCTCGACTTACGACCGGTTGGGGGTCGCGGCATTAAAAAGGTTGAGAACCATTGCACTAGAAAAATACTGTTTTTCCTATTTATTTTTTTTTGAGAGAGAGGGGGGAGAGAGAGAGAGAAAGAGAGAGAGAGAGAGACAGGTGTGTGTGTGTGAAATATATACAATGCTTAATTTAGCATCCTTTATAGATATAAAGTCACTTTAATTTCATAAAATGCATAATATAACTTGGGATCCTCACAAACATCTGTTTGGGGTGCAAAACTCTAAAGGGGGAAGTGGGAAGCAAGGCTCAGAATACATTTATTGCCACATGAGATGTTATTTAATCATTCTCTGTAGCAATTCCATCCTACATTCACTGACACTCAGCCACAACTGAGTTGCAATTAATGAGGCATGGCTTCAATTACATATGCTGAGACATTATCTAAAACATCTTCCCTTTCTGCTCCATACAAAAATTGAAATCCTTTCAGAATGAACTGGGAAAGATGGCTAGATAAAGCAGAAGATTACCAATGTTCACCTAAGCTCTTATTAAAATTTGGACTCTAAGAGTAGATAGATAAAATCCAGGGAAACAAGCAGGACACTTTTGCATCAGGGATCCATTTTTTGCTAAGGAATATGCTTAGCCATAGAACATAGAATTTTAATTTTAAGTTATTTTTGTCTCTTGCTATTTGAGCATTATTGTCTTTGATGCTTATTTTATTTATTTATTGATTGATTGATTGATTGATTGATTTATGAGACTTATATACCGCTTTAAGTGCAAGCACTCTCTAAGCGGTGTACACCAGTAAGCAATGTATGTATGTATGTATGTATGTATGTATATATATATATATATATATATATATATATATATATATATATATATATATATGTAGGTCTTTGGTTGTTCGGGTTTTCTCCCACGTAAAATTGGAATGTCTTGGCGACGTTTCGACGAAGTCCCATTCGTCATCTTCAGGCTGGTGCTTTCAGCTTCGTGCCTCGAGCAGCAATGTGTGGTCTTAGCTGTTTCTTCCTTTTAACTGCCAGTGGGGGTATGAACTGATTGGGTGGGAGCTTGGCTGTGTTCTGATTGGGTGGAGGTGTGTTTTGATTGGTTAGGGGCTTGGCTGTGCTCTGATTGGCTGGGGGGTTGGCTGTGCTCTGATTGGCTGTGCTCTGATTGGCTGGGGAAGTGTTCTGTTTGGTTGTGCTCAGGTTAGTCTGAGTTGCAGAGGGATTCAAGATTTTGGGCTGCCCTGCCATTCCTTGGCTTCGCGTTCGTGGTCGTGTTTCCTCTTCATGGAGGGTGTCAGTTTGCTTCATGTATGGATTGGGGAGGTTTAAAGTGGCTAATGCTGCAGCTGTGGTCTGGCTTCTGGTTTGTGGTCGTGCCTCATAGTCAGTGTGGCTTTGGGTTTGTTTTTTGCGTGGATGTTTGGTGGTGACCTCCTGTGTGGTTTTTGTGAGTGTGGGTCTGGTATCATTTTTTGTGAATCCCTCTGCAACTCAGACTAACCTGAGCACAACCAAACAGAACACTCCCCCAGCCAATCAGAGCACAGCCAACCCCCCAGCCAATCAGAGCACAGCCAACCCCCCAGCCACTCAGAGCACAGCCACGCCCCTAACCAATCAGAACACACCTCCACCCAATCAGAACACAGCCAAGCTCCCACCCAATCAGTTCATACCCCCCCTGGCAGTTAAAAGGAAGAAACAGCTAAGACCACACATTGCTGCTCGAGGCACGAAGCTGAAAGCACCAGCCTGAAGATGACGAATGGGACTTCGTCGAAACGTTGCCAAGACACTTCCAATTTTACGCGGGAGAAAACCCGAACAACCAAAGACCTATATACAAATACCCGCGAAAACCTCAGAAAACATATATATAGATATATATATATATATATATATATATATATATATATATATATATATATATATATATATATATATATTCACTGTACAAGCTCAGTAATGTGTCATACAACTTGAAACCTCTACAGCAGAGTTGCTTCCCAAATACAAGCATATCAATATCATCTTATAACATTTACCTTTTCCCCATCCCCTGAGAGATCATCTTAAATCAGAGCTGTGATTTGAACAGTTCTATCTTTTTATCTTCATTATCACTGAATACTTTACATGTGACAAGCATCTAAAATGTTTATGTTCTTTTTTAAAAAATGAAGTTTGATTTTATTCATCTCTTGTGAGATTGGTCTTTCTACCAAAGGGAAGTGGAAACAGCTCGTCACCTTAGCCAGATGCCTCAGGACCACAGGGCCAGGAGGTGATGCTACAGCATTTATTTCATTTATTTCTCTTTCTCCTTTTCATTTTAAATTTGCTAGAAAACTCAGATAGTAGGAGCCCTCTCTCACACACAAAACAGGTTAAGGGAAGGATACCAGATGAGGCATACACCTATCAGAAGACACACTAACTCAGGAGATGGAGATGGGTTGTTTGGATCTAAAGGGCTTCTGGAAAAAGAAGCTGAGACTGCCACCCTTTTACCTCACAGGTTCAATTCTTATTTCATAAATCTTGCATACTTTTTAAAATCCTATCCTTATTATTTAATATTTTTATAACATTTTGACAACAAAATATTTGCCCATGTTGAAATACATATCTCTACTCTTTTACCTTTAGTTTCTTTCCTAATCTGGGGTATGCGTATTTCAAAATTCAGAAATTTGTTTCATGTCTTAACCATTTTATTAAGCATTATTTAAAATTAACACATTGGGGTATTGTCCATAATCATTTTTCACTACATTGGAAAATTACAATCCTTATAATTTTAAGGGATATTATAAAGAAAAACAACAACAAAAACTCTGGGGTTTTCCCATTTTTTTCCACTTTTTCTGACCCTTACCTTGAAAATCTACATTTATCATTTATTCATAAGGCAAAGCTTAGGCCCAAGAACAAGATGAAAATGAGGAAATGAGACATTTTAAGATAGACATTTATGTCTATCTTAACTGCAATTTCATTTTATAATGATTAAACCATCTACCAAAATCAGGAAGTAAAGGAGTATGTTATTTATCATTTACCATACTTCTCTTATAATAAGCAAATAATTTATTTTCTGAATTTCTAGTCAGATAACTTGATCCATAAACTTGTGAACAGCAAGATGTTTTTCTGTTTATCTATACCTGCTTTGCTAAAGTTTCCTTGGATACCCGGAAATATTAAATATTAATAATACGTTAAAACATGCAAGATACTTATCAAAATATGGTGCCTAAAAAACCAAACCAAAAGGTGGCATTAAATCTCTATTTCTATACTGAGAATAAAGTAATACAGTAAGGGGGGAATATGTATATACACAAGTTTAACGAAGAGAAGGACAAGGGGGGACATGATAGCAGTGTTCCAATATCTCAGGGGCTGCCATAAAGAAGAGGGAATTAAGCTATTCTCCAAAGCACCTGAAGGCAGGACAAGAAGCAACGGGTGGAAACTAATCAAGGAGAGAAGCAACCTAGAACTAAGGAGAAACTTCCTGACAGTGAGAACAATTAATCAGTGGAACAGCCTGCCTCCAGAAGCAGTAAATGCTCCAACACTGGAAGTTTTTAAGAAGAGACTGGACAGCCACTTGTCTGAAATGGTGTAGGGTTTCCTGCCCGAGCAGGGGGTTGGACTAGATGACCTCCAAGGTCCCTTCCAACTTTACTATTATTATTATTATTATTATTAAGTACATACAAGAAATTAATTATGATGTGAGAACACAAACAATGGAGACAGCATATACATAGAATTACTGTGGAATTAGAATTATTCGGTGAAAGGTAACGTGGATGTTCTCTAGAGATCTTGTTGACTGTGATATTTTGAAAATCAATCTATATTGATGAATGGTAGGGAGAGATTTAAATTTAAAGTTGGGAGATATTTTATTATTTTTAAAATAGGCAGATTTTTATCACAGTTTTAGGGAGTCCTCAGTTAACAATAATTGGATCAGAATTTCCATCACTAAGCAACGTGATCATAAAACGAGACACCACGTGACCACATTGCTCAGAGATTGCAAACCTAGCAATCCTCTTTGCCAACATTAAGCAAGGTTTGTGGGTTATTAAGCGAGGCATTCCTTGCAACTTCCTGCCAACCACCCATAACCAAAGTCATGGGGAAGCCATCAGGAAGTTGCTGTTGACTTGCAAGCAGGCCAGAAAGCACGTAAATGGCTGCTGTTGGTTAGGGGGAGGTTGCACAAGGTGTGCAAATGGACAGTACAGTGTGGCGAAGGGTGTGTGAAAGTCTGGGGAGACCCATGCAACATGAGCACAGTGTTCTTGGAGGCTTGGAATGGCTTGGAGTGGCTGTTGAGAGTTATCCAAACAACCTGTGACCTTCCCTGCCAGCTTGTCCACTGACTTGGCTTGGTTGGCAGAGAAGATCACAAATGATGAACATGTGACCTTGGGACACTGTAGCTATCTTGCAAGCTGGTTGCTAAGTGCCCAGATCATGATCATGTGACTGCAGGGGTGCTGGGATGGCTGGAATCTCGAGGACCAGTTGTAATTATGCATTTATTACTGAGGTCTACCTGTAACTGTTCTGAAAACCCATCACAGCAGCCTTGGCTTTCTGCAAGTCTCTCCTTGCTGCTTTGCATGCGAAGAAATAAATTACAAAGGACTCTTCGTAATTTGCCATAAATGTCAGTTTTCTACTTCAGTATAATCAAATAGTATATTATAGTTTGCACATATCTTGTTAACAACTATATAAATATTGCAATATAATTCTAATTAATGTCCTATAACTAATTATAATTTGCACAAACTATGATTTCTAGCATTTTTCATGTGTAACAGAAATTTCAACTTATTACAACATGAAAAATCTGCAGATGAAAGGAAAGAGAGGGATATGGAATGGGTGGGATTTAAGGCAACATTTGTACATGTTTATCTTTTCTCTGTTTTTTTCTTTAATGTCATAACTAACAGTAGCAAAAATTGCTATTTTGCTTTTAGATTTCAATGTTGAAATTGCAAGGAATCCCTGGGAAGTCTCAGCCACCAAGGCATTCCAAGACAGCTTTATGAAAACAGTGCTGTGTTCAGAAAGAAGGGAAAAAAGGAGGAAAGTAGGAAAAGTTTGTTGAAGAAGCTGCCTCTGAAAAGAAGACAGCAAAAGATGAAAGGTCAGACAGCTGGGCAAACAAATATGGACTGGGCTGGGCTGGTCAGGGAGCCATGTGGGGCTGGGAGAGAAGGCAGCTGGGCGAATGAATGTTTGTTGGGGCGGGCTGGGGTGACTGAGGCTTCATGGGATATAGCAAGCAGTCCTGGAGCTACACAATCCTGGGGCTACTTGCTGCCCCACAAGGCAGGGTGCAAGGTGCCAAAAGGGCATAGATGGGTGGGAGGGGAAACAGGAAAGTAGGAGAAGTTGGAAGTAATCGCGACCTTATTATTTGGTATTCAGGGACCAAGCCCACAATGGGTTGTTAAGCAAGTACCTGCCTCAGTCCAAGCCATTGTGGGCTTGGTCCCTGAATACCGAGCCTCAATAATGACCCAACGGGGAATGCTGGAAGTGCTGCTGTAAAATGGTTCAGTTACATAATGTCTAACTTTATGACAGCAATTTATGACAGCAATCCCAGTTCCAGTTGCGGTTTTAAGTTGAGAACTACCTATATCAGTGGTTCTCAACGTCTGTGTGACAGCGACCCCCGTCACACAAACGTGCCGCGCATGCGCGGCGGCACCCCATACGCGGCGCGCATGAGCGGCGGCGCCCCCTGAGGGGGGGGAATGGTGGATCGCCTTGTTTGGTGACCCCCGTGAAATGGTCGATCGACCCCAAATGGGGTCGCGACCCATAGGTTGAGAACCGCTGACCTATATGGACAAGGCAATATTGTTTTCTAAATGGGATATTGGGCACACAAAACTCTTCTTGTTCACTCATTATTATGCTCACATTGGCTTAGAACCACACAATGAATATAGTTCCACATGCTGCAGTCTAAAATGGGAGCAGAGCCTTGTAATCTGAAAGACATAAATGCTAGTATATAAGCTGAGCCATCAGGGTGACATGAACTCTTACCAGTTCAGCCCTGCATGATAGAGAATCAGCACCTTTGTTTTCCAGAGCTGTAGTTAAGATCATCACCATGGTAACAAAGTCATGAACTGGGGTCCATTCCAGTAGAGGTAAAGGTCACAATTGGCCATATTAGGCAGAATATCCCATTCAGTGCATTTTCCCAGATGAAAGGATCAACAGCACCAATTCCCATCTGTTTTGTCAACTGGACAGCTTGACAAAAAGTAGTCCAAAATATTCACTTTCTGGAAGGAAAGAGAAAGGGGGAGGGATATAAAATACAAACACTCTGTAGTTATTCTTCATTTCCACAAATCATTGCACCAACATTATGTTTTGTGGGAAGTTTGCCCTTGCTCTTGCAATAAATCTGACAAGTTCTTGCATTTCTCATGTGTACCAGAGAAGAACACAGTGACCATAGGATTAAATTATACCTGCAGGAAGAACAGACAAGCCCTTTCCTTCCTACTTGAATTCTGCAGTTGCAAGAGACAGATTGTTAATTAAGGAGGACAGTGAGTAAGTGGGGAACAGTATAGTCCTGACAGCAATCAGCTAAGCAATCAGTGAAGTAACAAGAAAAGAAAGCTGTATATGCTGGCAACACAGAAGGAAGAGCCAAAGGCATGGGCTAAACAATTCCAAGTTACCTCTAAATTCTAACTTTTAAACAAGGAGCAGTAAACAAGCATATATTGAACACACACACATACACACACATGCACTTTAGAAATCTAATTCTACTGAAACATGAAATACAGTCATTACAAACGGCTCCAGCTATAGGAAATAGTCTCCCCCCCAATAGACCAAGGGTCCTGCTATGAAAAAGAAAGAAACCTGTATGCAAATGGGCTTCTACAGATGGACAGGTATTTGTGCCCCAACTCAAGCAATGAAACCTGTGTGTGTCGTAGTATATACTAAACAGGAGAATATATTTTACTTGACATGTCTTGGATTATTAGAGAGGGAAAATAAGAACTCCTCATTGTGTAGAAAAGCCTATTGGTTTACAAATTTGCACACTGATTTGCATAACAAAGGTGCATATGCTATATTCTGAGTCTATGGAATTAAAAGCACTGGTTTTAGCAAACAGCATGAGAGGACACATCAGCAATGCTGACATGCATTAAGGAGATTTCTGCAGTACTGATTTATAGGTAGAAGTTTTACAGTGAGAAATAAGAAACAGAGATACTGTTAGGATGAGGAATTTCATGACTCTGGGAGCCATTAAGCAGTGAAACAACCTGCCTCCTGAAGTGGTGTGTGCTCCATCAGCGGAGCTTTTGATAAAAGATTGGATAGCCATTTGTATGGAATAATATGTGAATTCCTGCACTGGACAGGAGATTGGCTAGAAGACTCGTCCAGAGTTACTTCCAAGCATGTGCTGTCATGATCTACATCACTCTAGTACTGGTCTGGTTCTTACACAAAGCAGTAACATAGCTTGCTTTGTGTTATACAAATGCACCCTAGGATAAATGTTGTACTTTATTTGGCAACAAACTACTATTTGAAACTATAGTTTAGTCATTTACAAATCCTAACTTATTTTAACCATAGCTTGTCACTGCATCTGAATTCAAAATTCTGAACGTTTGTATGGTGCCACATCCATTTCTTTTGAATCTTGGCAGAACAAATGAGAATTGGCCAAACAAGCTGTGATTACTTTGCTTAACTGGCTTGCTTAAATAGCTACAGTTAAAACATACACATATTCTAATAATATATTTCAACCCTATCACACGTATCAATATAGTTAATCAAGATCCAGCAGGATGATTCTCCTTTGCAATGAAATTAAAAGTTGAATAACTATTTTGTAATTCGTGAATTTGTTTACACATGATCCAATTCCATTTATGTTCTGGATGCCTTCAAACCATTTCAAACTGAAATTCAAACAACTAAAATACATTTATACTGTATGAGCTATACAATACAATAGGAAAGCAGTCAGATAGCCAAGAAAATATTTTTTTCAGCTTGTGGCAGGCCCAGCAGCTAGGTACTTAAATACAAAAATGGACAAATTACAAGTAAGATTAATTTGAAATCAATTTTCCAAAATAATTCCATAATCCTGTTTAGAATGTTGCTTTTTGCCAATATAAAGAAAAAGTGGAAAGTCATTAGCTAAACCACAGTAAGCATTTATTCTCTAAGATGCAATAAAATTCAAGCAGTCTTATATAATGATTTGGAATGTAGTGATTAGTATTAGAACTTGTAAGAGCCAAAATTAATTCTCCATTCAGCTTATAAATCATATTCTTCTTGTTTATTTGTATTTGAACATGCAAGTAAGTGTCATTATATATATTCACTTAAAGATTAGCTAGATTAAGTAAAGAAAAATATTCTATTCTTTGTTTGATCAGAATTAGGTTCACCTAGAGTGCAGAACAATGAAAGGAATAAAATCAATACATTTTCTCAGTTACTTAAAAAAATGAAATATGATGGAGTTGGATCTTAGTGAGCATCATCAAATACAGTTTGCTGCTTGTTTCCTCGTTAATCAGCAAACAACCTAATGACATTAAGGAATCGTGAAAACAACAAGGTATAAAATATTCTCTTTGCTATGAAAGATACTCTTTACGGTGATTTATTAATGGCGCAAATTACCCAACACATAAAATGTTCATTGTACGGCTCACTTTTTCCTTTTTATTTATTTCAGTCTAAACATAATGGTTTCCGAGACTACCATTCAGGGGAAAGGGAGGCCTAATTCTTTTCCCCAACCTTTTGGCTAAAAACATTTCATACCTTTATAATTCATGTACGGGTGCTGGGATTTTTTTTAAAAAGTACTTTAAAATTGACTCTGAAATCTTATGATTCATACATTTTGACGCATTCATACAAATAATCCTTTGTTCATACTATTATAGTTGATCTCATAGTCGGCTAGATGTTTAGACTGGATTTCACATTTTTATCCACCTATCAAGTCCGTCCCAAGGACCTGGGATAGGTAGATGTTGTTGCTTAAGGTATTATTATTATTATTATTATTATTATTATTATTGATCATCGCACAGTCAGCCAGATGTTCAGACTGGATTTGGCATTTTGTCTACCTATCAAGTCCTTACCCAGGATCTGGGATAGGCAGATGTGGATGTTTGACGGTATTACAGATATCGTCGCAGGATGGAAGCAATTATTATTATTATTATTATTGAGGATCATCACACAGTCAGCCAGATGTTCAGACTGGATTTGGCATTTTGTCTACCTATCGAGTCCTTACCCAGGACCTGGGATAGGCAGATGTGGATATTTGATGGTATTACAGGTATCGTCGCAGGATGGAAGCAGTTCCTAATAAGGCCGCCTTTTGCAATTGACTAATAGCGAATCTGTCAATGCCAATGGTGTTCAAGTGGTGCTCCAGTTGTTTTGGGATTGCACCCAAGGAGCCTATGACTATTGGTACTACCCTTGCTTGCTTTTGCCACAGTCTTTCTATTTCTATTTGTAGGTCTTTGTATTTTGTTCTCTTCTCCAGTTCTTTCTCTTCTATTCTGCTGTCTCCAGGCACTGCCACGTCCACTATCCAGACTTTTTTGTCTTTCTTATCGACCATTGTTAAGTCTGGGTGTTATGTTGCAGGTGCTTGTCTGTTTGAATTCTGAAGTCCCAGAGCAGTTTAATTTTATCATTTTCTATGACTTTCTCTATTTTATGATCCCACCAGTTTTTGCTTACAGGCAAATGATATTTTTGGCAGATCTTCCAATGCACCATTGTTGCTACTTTGTCATGCCGCTGCTTGTAATCAGTCTGTGCAATCTTCTTGCAACAGCTTATTATTATTATTATTATTATTATTATTATTGTTGTTGTTGTTGTTGTTGTTATTATATACTAAATCATACATACACAAGAACAGCATGAGATATTATTGTGAGATATTATTGTGTATGGTTTTAAGAGCTAGTGTGATATAAGGTGATGAATTAGGTGTGGGGAGACTCTCATTCTAGTTCTCCATTAGGCATAATGATCCTTCAGTGAATTGATTTGATCTGATAAAAAACATAAAGTTTTATACACCATTCATACCCTCTTTCTTTTTTTCAATTTAAACACCCCCCTCCACTGAAATGTTGCATCATACAGAAGCTGCTATACCCGTCTGCAGCTTTACCACCTCTACCATATTTTGTTTTGAAATCTAATTATCTTCAATGTAACCCAAGGCTAAGAGGGAAGTAATGAGTTGAAATGGCTAACAGTCATTTCTGGGAACTTCAATCTCTGAGAACTAGAACAGGTCTAGGAATATTTTCAGACTGCTTACTTGCTCTTAAAGAACAGGCACCTTTCATATCTTACATGTCTCAGAGAGTTAACACAAAGAAGACGGGTTAGAGGCCATTTCTTTTTTTCAAGCAGAAACACTTCAGACTGATTAAGAATTCCTTTGAATGTTACAAGAAACAGTAATTAGCTATGCTCCCTTTGTGTGTTTCTCAGTATCTTGCTGTACAATCAATTCTTGATTATAATCTGAATTGGACTAAATAATGAATGATGAATTGAAAATAATGAAAATCTTACGAAATTTCATTGAACTTCAATACATGGAGTGATAGAAAGGTTTGCCTGCTAGCAATTACTTGCATTAGCACTGATAATGCAAAATAGACAGAAAGGAATATCTGGATGAGGGGGAATTTTTTATTTAAATAGAAATAAATATGCTAGAGATATGCAAGGCCTTAGAAGCCCAAAAGTACAAATATTACTGCCTGGTGAGACAAAGGCGGATGAAGAATGGAAAGAGAGAAAAAAACATATAAAAGTAGAAACAGAAAAGTATCATGAGAGATTGGAGCTAGGCAAAGGGAAAAATAGAATTATTAGCAACATGCAGATATTTCTAAATAAAATTATCTTGGTAACTTATAACACTTACTGAAAATAAAAGCCTATAACCATAATTCATAAAAAAACTCAGTAAAAGTCTTATGAAAATGAGAATATTCAATGAAAATATTCTGAAAAATAATTATTGCAATACAATATGCTATTCTGAATTAATTATTTAGAAATATCACCACTGCCTATTTTTTCTTTGAAGGTTTTTTTTGAAGGCTAATTCAAGCTGTTTAGTTTTTCTCTTAATATTGCTCTTCCCTGAAAAGAAAAGTATATAACACAAATGTTGAGCACTACACTTAATCTACATATAATCAAAACACTTTTTTGT